TAAAATGTGTTGTGGGAAAGCATGGGGTCCTATTTTGGTGTTCTTTTTTTTTCTACTCTACTTCAGCGCTGCATACATTGATTGATCAGCACCAAAAACAAAATAAAATACCATCTGTATCATTAAAGATGAATATGAAATCAACACAAAATTAGCTGTTGTTTCACAATGACACGGCAAACTAAGAACCGATTTCCGAACATATATTAGGAATGATATATTTTTTTATTATAAAATAATCAGTGTATATTAATTATTATTGAGAATAATTAATTTGATTTATTTTTAATCTTTATATATTCTCGCCGCTTACATTTCAAGAGTATTATTTTGAATATATATTTCTTTTTCAATGTAATATAGTAAAATAGCGATCTCCAATAAGCCAATGATCTTCTACTTCTAATTATTATTTAAATTCTGCTCGACGTACTTTACGGACAAACCCTTACATCATCATGTAATAAATTGTGTTATCAAAAGAAATTTTTTGAAAACATATTACAGGCCTTGTTACAAGATTTCGTTGCGTAACGGAAAAGCTAAACGTGAATAAATGTAACTTTACTCAATAAAGATATTTACATTGTTAAAAGTTAATTTACGCCAGTTGCGTTTTTACTTCATTGTAATTAAATTTAAAATGACATTAAAAACTATTGTTAGTCTTTGAAACGAAATAGCTTTAAATTGTACAATGTTGTTATAAAAAAAAAAAATTTCAATGTTGGTTAAAAAAAAGTCTTCTTGTATTAAAATCTTATACTTATTTAAACTTAATTTTTTTGCTTTTAAACATTCGTTTTATGGTTGTTTTTTTTTTTATTTTTTTTTTTAAATAATTTAAATTTAACACTTATTTATGGTTGATTTTCTTAAAGGGATTTAAATGTACTTATAACTAAACGCATAGATTGGGTTTTCCCTTTTAAAAAAAAACGTTTGTTTTGATAAAATAAATGTTGTAAAGAAACGAAATTTACTGCTTTTTCGGCTTTGTTTTTTTTTATTTCCATTAAACTATTTTACTTTTATGTACAGTGAAACCTAATATTTTTTTTTCTCAATCCAAAAAAAAAATAGTGTTTTCGGTTTTCAGATGTTATAAGCAGAATTTGTTTTTAACAAATATCATTATAATTTTGAAATTTATGTATCTTATATTTATAGCTCAAGTACTAGTTTTGTTTTTAAAATAAAATAAAGATAAGTTGGGTTTTTAAAGAGTTTATTTACTGATCACGTTATTTCTAATAGGTTTGTATTTTAGTTTGTTCAAGGACGTATTGTTAATACGTCCTTGGTTTGTTTTATAAAAAAAAATTCTTTGGCAAACGGCAAAGGGAAAACCCAAACATAACATTTATAACTCGAGTTTAAAAGTATTGACGTCATTTATTAACTTGTAGTTATAAAATGAATAATGCGCTTCTGTAAATAATGAATGAAACTGTAAAATAATGGAAAAATAAAAACTGGAAAATAATGCGCTTTTGTAAGCGCATCTTTCAGACAAGTATTTGGAACTTACCTGAAACTTAACTAAAATTAAAATAAAGTTATATGTAATACAAACATTTTAAAGTAACTTGAATTAAATTTATCAAATCTTATTAAATTTAATTAAAATTCTTTCATTTAATTTTAAAACAGAGCATTTTAAAATTTTTTAATTTTAAAATGCTCCGTTTTTTTTATAAAATTACCAAAGTAAAAAAGTTTAATTTATAAAATAAATTTATTTACTAAAAAAAATATAATTATTAAAAAAATATTTAAATTTTAAAATAAATTGAAAATATTTCTTTTTTTAAATTTGATTGTTTATAAACTTATAAAATCTAATATTTAAAGTTAAATATGATGAAAAGTTTAAACTTAAAACACTTTATTTTCTTTAAGTAATTTTTAAAAACAAAAAAAAAATTATTAAACAAATTGTTTCTTTAACAAAAAATTTATTAGTTTACAATTGCGGTTAAATGCTTTTACTTACGACTTTAATACTTCTGAATGAACGTCACATAAACAATATAAAAAGATAATTTAAATAATCTTAAAGATAAAAGTTTTTGCGTAACGCATAACTGCTGAACGCGTAGGCAAATCGCCTTTTCGCAGGCAAAATGCGAGCTGCGTAACACTTCTTAACAAGGCCTGTATTATAATAAATATATCATAAATTTCATATTTCACATTTATTGCAAGTTCAATTTTATAATTAATAATTTATTTTATACATAAATCGCATAGGGAAATAAAGTTATAATCACAAAGTCCCAGCAAAAACAACAACAAATGTCTTTTAATTATAGAGTATTATTATTAGCAAGCGATTGCACGCGTGTTTTCTAAGAATACCAGTAAAAAAATTAAAAACTTTCGCAAATTCAGTTGTTATAAAATCAAAAAAAAAGAAAAACAATAACTAAAAGACTTTCCGTAATAACCGTAATTGATCAAAAGGTATCTGACATAACCTTCTCGATTTTTTTGTTGACGAAATACATGTACTACTTAAATTTGAGTTTACGGTAAGACTTAATAAGTTATTTCACTTTTTAGCCAAAAAGGGAGAAACTTTTTAAGAAATAGCATTTGCGGATGTTAAACCAAACAAGTTTGTTTTTATTTTGGATCTTTTAGATTAGTACTTTATTTCTTGCTAACTTTTTTATATAATATTTGCTGTTGTTGGAATTCATTGCAAAAAACTATTTTCAAACTTTATTGCAAGTTGCCACAAAAATCCCAATTCTCATGATGTTTTTTTCCAAGAAACCGATTTTCGCAGTTATGCAATTGCGTTTTTTTTTTACCAATAATGGCGATTTAATTTCATCTTTTATGCAATTAATGAATTAAAATTTTTTAATGTTATTTTTCTATTAGTTTTGAATAATAATTGATTTTAAATTATTTTTAGAAATATTATTAAACTTTAATTTGGAAACTTTATTTGGAGAATGGGATTTTTTCATCTTTAAATTGGGAATTTTAATTTTATGAGCATTTGGGAAAACCGCGTTTGACGGGGCACCACAGGGCTAGTTTACACCCTGATATATATATATATATATATATATATATATATATATATATATATATATATATATATATATATATATATATATGTATATATATATATATATACCATTGGTGTACTCTCGTGGTCGCCCGATGGCAAATGCCACCTGAATCTTTCGAAGGACTATTGGTAATAATGTTTTGATGCAATTGAGTTGCCTAGCCAGGCAGGACTCAATTGCATCAAAACTAATTTAAATTAATTCAATTTTTAACTTATTACTTAAATACAAATTACTCATTATTTAAAATGATTTTTTTGCATTTCTACATTTAGCAACGTTTTTGTTGCTAAAGGTAAATTTGTTCTTTTGTTTTTGAAAGACTTACTTTTTATCAACGAAATAGCTTTTGATAATTACTTTTTAATTTAATGTAATGTTTTTATAAAGAACAAATGAAATGTTTTGATGTCATAACTGCTAATAAATTAACAAACATATTTATGAAATTAAATTATAAAAGTTTCTTATGTTAAAACGTTTATTTTTTATTAATTGAATAATAAACTTTTTTTATTTAATTTTAGTAATAAAGATACAGAGACGTTTAAATTGCTAGTTCAAAAGTTTTTAAAAAGTCTTTTTTTTAAAGTCGTTAAAGATTCATTCATTTAAAATGTTTTATAAAACTAAATAAAAGTTACATAAAATGTGACAAATAAAAATACCAAGATGTTTTTAATGCTGCTTTTTAAATTTTTCTAGCAATAAATATAACATATCATAACTGCTGAAATTTAAATAATAATCAATAGAAATAATCTTTTTTATAATCATCAAATATGAAAATATAATTTTATTCTAAGTGAAATCACACACTTTAAAAAACTTGTTGAAGACATTAATTATTTTTTTTTTTAATGATAATGTATGACTCAAAATATTGGTGGGCAACCAAGAAATGCTAAATTATTACTTTCAGTAGTCCGCTGGACAACCGACCAAAATCCGAGTGTACACCACTGTGTGTGTGTGTATATATATATATATATATATATATATATATATATATATATATATATATATATATATATATATATATATATATATATATATATATATATATATATATATATATATATATATATATACACACTGTATATATATATATATATATGTTACATAATATATTACGCTATAACAATGTTCCTCAATTGTTTATTTAAAATTAAAATAATTACAAAATAATTGTTACAATATAGCTAAAACGAGTAGTATTAGTTGCCAACACCCAAGTATTGTCCAACTTATAAACGACCAGTAACTTCTATTAAACTGCTCATTGTACTCATTGTCTTCAATCAACTATCTTCTCGTTCTTCTCTCTTCTTTTTGTCTTTCTCTAATTATCGATATCCTTATCCATATCTATATCTATATTCACATACACATACATACACACCATATCTCGTCTTCTTCGCGTTTTTATACAATTTCCCCAGACGCTAGACGCATTTTGGTTCTTGAACGAATTGTTTAGTTTATATTGTTTATGTTAAATCTTCTTCATGGTTCATCTAACCCAAGCGTTCGGCTTGAATGGTTAGTAACCTTCGTAACATATATAATATTTTAATGACATCTTAATAGTATGATAAAATCTATATATAAAGTTGAAAATACATCATGTACGGTGACATACTATTTATTTAACTATTAAAATTTTTTAATTTTAAATGTGATATTTCAGCTCATATAGTTGGAGCTATTTTCAAACTAAAATACGTTACAAAAAATTCGTTATTTACAAAAATGATGTCATTGCTGCGTAATATTATAAAAGTTTTTCTTAAATTAGAAAAAGATATATACTCTATCTCTAAAAAACATAAATATTAACTATTTTAAATATTACTATTGATATAATACAATATTCATTTAATTTTTTTTTTTCTAATTAAATCTTTTTAGGCAGATTGGACCTATGTAAAAAACTATGCTAAGTCTGATCAACAGGCAATGAATTATATGGCAACTCATTTGGCATCTGTCTCAAAAATATACTCGTCAACAGACTTTAATAAAGATAATAAACCAGACGGTAATATATAGATATATATTTTTAAATGGTTATAGAATTTTATAGTGTGGAGATAAAAGAAACAATTTCTTTTTTTTAGGTATCACCCTTAAAATCCAAAAGATAGGTATTATTTCAAAAGATGGATGCACCTCTAGTTCTACAGACCCAAAATGCCAATTTGCAGATGAACGCATTGGTGTTGAGAAATTTTTAGATATTGCATCATTAGAAAACCATGATGAGTATTGTCTGTCATATGTTTTTGCTTACCGAGAATTTGCAGATGGCGTTTTAGGATTAGCTTGGATTGGAGACTGTGAGTTGTGCTTAAATTCTCTTTTAATAATGCAAGGCGCAAATTAAGAGATTACAAATTGTGATATCTGGAATTTTCTCTGCTGTTCAAATTCTCAGTTTATTAAATACTGTGAATACTGTTTTAATGGAAGGGTCAACTTATCACATTTCAAAAATTTATTAAAAGAACAAAACAACAAGTTTATGACTGAAAAAATAATAACAGTCAAAACTTACATAGTTAAATTGTTTGGTTTAAATACCAATTAATTCAAGTATTATAAACAATAAAAAAATTAAAATAATTACTAAAGATTTGAAAAAAATGTGCAGTACTTTTAAAATCAACAAACAAAAAGTTACAATAAAGTTTAAGCTATTTGCTTGTTGTTGATGTTGATGTTATGAAACATTTAATTCTGGTTTTTTATTAAAAGAGAAACACTTAAAGGGAACCCAAACTCCCAACACATGTTGTGTTCATATTAAAGATAATGTTAAAAAAAAAGGTTTGAACCAAATTTTTTTGATTAAAAATAAATAATGAATGCATACCGTGAAAAACAAATGTTGTTGTTTTTGCCAAAGCTCGTCTTCTCCATTTTTTTCAACCACTCGGAGTCTTCAAATTATGCGTCACAATCTACAGACTTTGGCAATTCCTTTGAAGCGCGTTTAATTCATAAAGGTTTTAGTATTTGACCTCACGGTAGACTTTTAACAAAAGAAAAGTGTAATTAAACTAAGCTGCGTTTTTCTACTGTAGTATTTTTTAAACATACAGCAAAACAAATTTATTTGTATTATTTTTCCAAACATCGCAAAAAAAGTTTTGTAAAAAGTAAAAACAATAAATTATTTTTATTTTATAGGAGCAACTTATATCTTAATAATTTTTAGATTTATATATATTACTTATATTTCTTTAATTATTTAAATTAAAACAAATATTAAAGTTTTACTTACTAATCTCATGATTTTCATACGAGTATTTTACATTATATAGAACGTTTTATATACAGTCTCTTGTTTTTGCGCAAGAGAGTGCAGTATTATATATTCTGATTATTAATTATTTTTATTTAAACAATGGGAACTATTTTCTAACTTCTCTGTTTTTTTTTACACTATGACAATTTTTTGTTTTTCCATTGAAAAGTATTTATTAACAATTACTTTCAAAAACTGACAGTATTAATTAGAGATATTTAATGAATTGTTAACTTTTTTTATTATATAATTTTTTTGATCACGCTGATTTAATTTAAATTGCTAAATTTGCTGAATTGGATACGGATAAAAAGGAAATACCATTTTATTTTACATTTGATTTTTGATAATAAAATTTTTAAAATGTCAGCAACTTTATACCAGTTAGAACCTGTTAAGATTATGAAAAAAAAGTACAAGAATACACTAAACAATACAGTTGACAGTAGTATCAGATATGAAAATTCGTGAAAGGATATGTGAGATCCTGATTTTGCATTAAAAGTACAATTAATTGCAACACAAGTCGGCATTTTAAATTTTGATTATAAGTTTACTGTTCAATATTTTATAACCATCAAATAAAAAACATGAAGTTTGTATATTTTCGCCCGTTTTATACAACTGATATTTAACAAAAATACGGACAAATTATTATTAAATAACGCAATAATTAACACATTAATTAAAGGCAATAATTCAAGATAGATGGTAATTTAAATTGTTAAAATGTCATAACGCATTAAAAACATATTATAATTGGTATTTCCAAATTTGTGTTGTAATTGGCATTTGTCTCTTAACATGAAAAATTAAAAATTTTAAAAAACACAATTAACAAATACAAATTTTCAAGCAATTTTCTCTTCCAATTCTCATTTATTCAAAGAAAATTTACTATTAAACTTTTATTTCTTTCATCTAAAAAAAGAACGAGTGACGCAAAAATATATATATTCTATTCAACTCTTATTCATTCAAAGTTTAATTGCGCGAAACTTTTCTTTCTCTTTTGTTCTACTCTTTTATAAAAAGAGCGCCTGATGAAATAAAAACTTTTCTTTTTTAACATATAATTATAGTTTGAGATAAAATTAAATTAGAAATAAATCAACAATGAGCAAAGCAACGAACAGATTAATCTGGAACTATTTTGATATTTATGAAAATAATCAACATAAACAACATTACCAACAACAATTATCAAATAAACAACACAATCTCGCTTAATTTTAGGGGCATTTTATTTTTATTGCTTAGTCGTTCTAAATAATAAGTAAATTTAGTTCAAGTTAATAATTCAATATTTACAGTTGCAATAGAATAAAGAAATGGTGTTTAATACTGAACTTTTTATTTAGTTATTTATTTTTTTACCTACATTTGTTATAAAAAACTTTAGAACCCCCGTCATTAAAATAATTTGTTTTAAATATATTTAAATATATTTCGACGTGATTATTCAAACTAATTTTTTTTCGTTGCACTTTTCGAACTTCATGCAAAGCAAATTGAAATAAAATATTGTCTAACCAAATAAAAAAGCTGTTACTAATTTTATATTGGTAATTAATGTAAAACAATTTTTGAGATAATAAATATTCATAATTTATAAACATTAAATATACGGCGCAATAACAATTTATAGCAACGAACCAGCAAAAAATCTTTAAGGTTTTTTATATCTTTTTAAACGTTAAAAATAGAAAAAAAACAACTCAACAAATCAAAAAATTTTTGAATAAAAATAAATAAAAATATTTCTAGAGTTTCATTTGTTAAAAGTCTACCGTGACGTCAAATACTAAAACTTTTATGAATTAAACGCGGTTCAAAAGAATTGCCAAAGTCTGTAGATTGCGACGCATAATTTGAAGACTCAGAGTGGTTGAAAAAATGGAGAAAACAAGCTTCGGCAAAAACAACAACATTTGTTTTTCACGGTATGCATTCATTATTTATTTTTAATCAAAAAAATTTGGTTCAAACCTTTTTTTTTTAAATTATGAACACAACATGTGTTGGGAGTTTGGGATCCCTTTAAGAATTATTTATTTAAAAATTGTTTAATTGTTTTAATTGTTTTAAACTAGACAATAATTAATTAATAATAAAAAATACAAAATGATATATTTAAAAATATGTTATCAAATTTTTTTTCTTCTGTGTTTTGGTTTAAAATAACTATAAGAGTTTTAAAGTTTTTGTTTATTTTTAAACACCTCTGTCTTTAACTTTATATATATTTGCTAGAGTTAGGAGCATTTAATTAATTTGACTTATAAGAAGATATTGAATAAGATTTAAATAAGATTAAAGTAGACATAAGATAAATTAAATAAAAGTAGATTTCTTTTAAAATATTTGGTCAAAGCTAAAAGTTTTCTTTTCAAAATATATAGCACGCTGTAACTGACCATGCTTATTATTATTTTTTTTATCTTTACAATTCGACTGTGTCTGTTTTGATGTTTTAACAATTTAAATGTTATAACAAAAATTGTTATGTTATAAATAAGTTTTAACTGTTGATCTTTTCTAAAGGTTTTTTTTTACGCAAAAGTTTTAAATGAAAAATTAGTTATAATGATTGTTAAAAATAAATTTTGTGTAAATTTTTTTTATGTAGGCATGTATTTTTTTATCATAAATTTAAATGTTTGAAACTATTTTTAAATGTCTTTCTAAAAAATTTTGAGACATTGTTTTTTGAAAGATTTTTTTTTTATTTAAAACAAAAAGTAATTTTTGCTTAGAGTTTAAGTTTTTTGAGTTTTAATTTAATGCTAATATATTTTCTTTTTTGTAAGGAATCGTTTTCTTTTTTCTTGAGTTTTTTTTTGAATTTTCTTCTTAGTTTAAGTTTAGCTTAGCATTTCTTTTTCAGTTTTCTGAAATGTCATCAAAACAGTTGTGGTTAAGTTGTCAAAATAAAAATCATTTGTGTGGTGAGATATTTAATTGCATGCCTTTTCTTTTTCTTGTTTTCTTTTCTTGTTTTAATTGTAATTTAAATCTTAAGTTTTAATTGGAGGTTCAGAGAAGAGAGAGAAAGCTGATGATTTCAAGAGAAGATAAGAATATGAAATACAAATCATATAGAGGTCATTCAATATGCTCACTTTTAATGCTACTAATGTTAATATCAAAAATGTTCTCTCTATCAACTCTTTATAGAAATAGAATATTTAAACATTAAAAATAGGTTTTTATTAGAAATGAAATTATAGATAATTTAACAGGAAAAAAATTAATGTCGCGCATTGACACTAAACTTGTGAAATATTTGTGAACAGAAGGGCATCTCTGTTACAAATGATAGATGAATATTAGATACAGATGTCCAGTGTTCACAAAATACAAAACTTAAAGGGAGAAGTTAATACATAAGAGATTTTTAATACTCTTCAATATTATAATTGTGTAGGTCCTGTTTTTGCAGTTAATTCAAATACAACCACTTTTATTTTTAATGTAAACTTAAATGTCATATTATATATATATATATATATATATATATATATATATATATATATATATATATATATATATATATATATATATATATATATATGTATGTATGTATATATTTATATATGTATATATTTATATTTGTAAAAAATATAAACATGCTTTTTATTAATATGAGCTTAAAAACATTTCATTTTAGTTAAAAAAAAACAAGCTATTTTTAGTTTGATAATGGCTCTTACTATATGAGCTGAAATATTACTTAAAAAAAAAGAAATAAATAGTATGATACTGCATATGATGTTTTAATGCTTATATATATATATATATATATATATATATATATATATATATATATATATATATATATATATATATATATATATATATATATATATACATATATACATATATATACATATATATATATATATATATATATATATATATATATATATATATATACATATATATATATATATATATATATATATATATAACACATTATTCTTATGTATATATATATATATATATATGTATATATATATATATATATATAACACATTATTCTTATGTATATATATATATATATATATATATATATATATATATATATATATATATATATATTTATATATATATATATATATATATATATATATGTATATATGTATGTATATATGTGTGTTTTTATGTATGTGTTATTTAGCTAGTGGAGCTGGTGGAATTTGCGACAAATATCAATCAATAAATTCTGCCATGAAAAGTTTGAACTCTGGTATTCTTACTAACCTTAATTATGGTAAAACTGTTGCTCCTAAGGTCACTGAAATTACATTAGCACATGAGATAGGGCATAATTTTGGCTCACAGGTTTTTTTCTTTCTTTTTTTTTCTGTAACAAAGTATATTACATATAAAAATTGCAATAGTTCTAATTAAATTGATTTGTTCTCCTGAAATTATTAAAAATTTTCTTCTCAGTTAGTATTTAAAAAGCCTAAAACTGTGCCCACAATTTTTTTTTTAAATTCTGACCAAAGTTCAGGTTTGTCTATGTGATTGTACCTAAATAAAATATTTCATTGCTTTTCGTTGCATTTTAGGATTTTTCTTGTTGAATAAAGTAAAGTAAAACAAATAAAGTTTTTTAAGACATTCACGTCAGCATAGCTGATTAACGGTAGCCAAACTATTGCCTATTTTTCAGATTAGTGGTAGCCTAATAGTAACTATTATCTGCAAGCAAAAAGATGTTTGAAAAGATTTTTTTAAATGCTTGTTGATTGATGTGGAAACTTGGGAGAAAGTCAATTAAAACTAAATTACACAGCGCTGGCTGGTCGTTATTAGAGATGTGTAATTTTGAAAACTTTTTATACTTTTTTCAGTAAGATCTTAGATTAAGAAACGTTTTATCTGTTCGCATTTTAAATCGCTTCCATTCAGTTTGAACTTTGGCTATTTGGCAAACTTTGAAGTTTTTTAAAGAATTTTTTAAATTTTATTTACAGATCTTTTTTATTGTGAAATATTTATACATCTCAAACAAAATCAGAGACGCTTTGTTTTTTTCTCTTTTCTTAAAAAGATAAAACAAATATTTTTTTCTTTTATAAAAACAAAAAAATATGAATCTATCTTAAGAAGCTGTATTTTGTTAAGCAAAATACAGCTACAAAATACAAAATGAATATTTAGAATTCGTTACAGAGTCTACATCTTTTTCAGACTCCGTATCGCTTACATCAACATCGGTTAATGGAGAAAGTGATTGGTTTCTTGGTCTTTTAGAAATACCATACTTTTTCATTTAGGCATTTTTTTAACAATAACATTAAAAATGTTGACATCAAGGTGGCAAAGAACAACTTTTTCATAAACTTTAAGTTACATGAGTGGACAGGGCTGATGACACAGGTTTAAAAATGGGGGAGGGGGCATAGTAGTTATTTTCTAAAAAAAGTTCTCTAAATAAATAAAATATAATATAATATTAAAAAATTTCACTAATCTTTAATTTTTGACTAATCTAGAATTTTCTCTTTAAATAAAAATAAATAAAAGGTCCTTTAGAAAAAAACGTTGTGGGCCCTGGTGGAGTATAACAAGTATGAGTTTTGATAAATAAAATATAATAAAATATTTAAAAATTTCACTAATCTTTAATTTTCGACAAGTTTCTAGATATTTAATGCTTTTTTTTTTATTGCCCCTCTCTCAATTTCCGTCCATAACTTATCGTTACAGCTAATACACATCAACATTGTCATTGTGTCATGTTTAAATTTTAATCTTCTGTCAGATAAAATTAAATTCAATATACTAAACATGCGCTCCTCGACTGCTGAATTTGAACAGGCTATTGAATGCTGCTGAATTTGAATGGGCTATTGAAAACATTACCTCAGCAATTAGGAAAGATTGAATCACTCATTTCGTTTTAATCTCAAAATATACATCCAAACTTTAGAAGTTTTCTTTTTCTCAGAAAGTTTTCTTTGTTCTTGGTGATGTCATTGGCAAAATGGCATTTAAAAAAATCAAAATCGTTTCCACTCATTTACAATATTTGACTTATTAAAACCATAAAGCATACTTTTGTTTAAAGACTATTTAACAAACAGAAAACGATTCATATGCTACTATTCAAAAGAAACAGTTACACTTAATATCTTTTGGGGTTCCACGAGGCTCTATTCTAGGGCCATTATTGTTTCTACTGTACTTAAGTGATCTTTCTTTATCATCAAATCTTATAAATTTTATTCTATTTGCAGATGACTTTAATATTATTCTAAAATGATTATATAGGTAAACAATTGCCGTATGTTGGGCTTTCATTAATTAACCAGTTTCTTGCTCCATCCAAACCATGTTTGCAAATACAGAACCATTAAGACTTTTAAATCAGGTTTTTAATGTTTTCAACATTATAGAAGTAACTTTCTTTTTTTTTTATTAGAGGTTTCCTTAATTTTCATTAGAGGCTTCCTTATCTTTGATACTCCTGTCTTGCGAGCTTGCAAACCATCTGACAGGATTGACTTTAAGTTAATATTAAGTTGATTTTCTCAAGAATAGCTGAATAAATAGAATTGATAATTTTTTTTGCAACTCTACCATCTTTTGTCCCTAAAATATTTCATATTACAGTTATTTTAATTTTAACTCTCAATCTAAAGTTTGTTTTTATTATTTAGTAAAATAAAAGATAAAAAATTAAATTATTTTATAATTTTTTTTTTATAACTTAAGAAAAACACAGTTTCAGAGTTTTGACAAAATTTGATACGAACATGCCTATTATTAGTTTTTTACAAATTTTACATGTGTTTAGAAAAGCTTGAAGACAATGTCATAATAGTAAAAGCATGTGATTTATACTGTGTGTTTAGTTATGAAGCTGGTTCTATTTGTAAAATTATCAGAAGTAACTTGTGTTGCTCCTCTTATTTAAGATGGTTTTGTAGATGAGAACATCTCCAAATAAAATTAATATAATCAATTACTTCTTCATTAATGATTTTCCAACCAAAAACTTTAAAATCTTTAAAATCTTTTTAAATGCGCTTAATCTTGTATTTTTTAAAAATTTTTTTGCCATTATTAGTTATCTTTTTTTTTTGCTGCCATTATTAGTTTTCGTTTTTTTTTTTTTTTTTTTTTTTTTTTTTTTTTTTTTTTTTTTTTTTTTTTTTTTTGCTGCCATTATTAGTTATCATTTTTTTTTTTTTGCTGCCATTATTAGTTTTCATTTTTTAGTAATTTAGTCTTTGTATTTTCTTTTGCTGCCATTACATGCTTTCCCTTTTTAATAATTTTTTTTTTTTTTAATAATTTTTAATTTCGCTATCGTGTTTTACGCGCTAAATAGCAAGTTAGGAACAGCTTCTGATTGGTTTACAATTATATCAACAAATCATTTTATCACGTTGAATACTCGTGACAGGCAATTGGTTTTGAAACTTAAAAAAATTTAACAAAATTTGTTTCATTCTATTAAAATTTTAAAATTCTATAGTGAAAAATGCAATAACATTAATGATATTCCGTTATTAATAGTAAAAGTTCTACAGAGTTTCTAACTTATGTAACATAACAATGTATTTAAAAGTTTGTAATAACGATTTGGAGAGATGTAACTACTTAAAAATGTTATTAGGATTTTTAATCAAAGTAATCGATGAACAAAAAAGATAGGTTGCAACTTTAAAAATTAACAAAAGTATATTTTTGACGAGCATTTTTATAAGCGCTTGCCAAAAAGACTGAGTTTTGTATTTCAAAAAAAGTTCAACTGGTAATTCAACAAATTTTGTTTTTTATAAAACAGCAAGAAATGAAAACATTAACAAAGGGATACGTCCATAAATTATGTCATGCAATTTTTAAATGTTTTTAATCCTTCCCCCTCCCTTATCACAACATCATAATTCTTTGTTTTGATTTGTTTCTGAAAAATAAAAATAAATTCAAAGCAAATAACTGTAGATTACTACAAAGAAGGAAACAAATACCTTGATAGTTTACTCAAATTTTAAATACACAGATTACAGTGGTGTGTAGAATGTAAGATAATATATCTTGTTGTTGAGAATTGATCATGTTTTTAGTGATAAATATTCTTTTAGTATTTGGAGTATGCATTAAAAATGTTTTTTTAAATGAAAATCATGAAGACTATCAGATTCAGATCATTTATACTGTCGATACAACCTTTTCCCATCAGCTACAACCTTTTCCCATCTTTCAGGTAGCATGCGGGTTCTACGCTGGAAAAATTCTTGATCTTTTGAGGCAATCCAGTTATCTACACATTTTTTGGTATTGTCATTAGAAAGAAAATCGCTGCTCAATAGGCCATGTGTCATCAACCAGAACAAACAGTAATTTCCCATTTGAGGTTCTCCCGGTAGTTTTTTACAACATTGTCATGTTGGAGAACAACCAATTATAATTGTTTTTTTGTGTTTAAGCATCTCATAAAATATCACTACAAGTTGATACCACCAGATACAGAGAATAAGCTTGGAACTATGAGTGTTCGGTTTCGCTGTCAATTTTGGTTCCTCCCCGGGCTTAACGTCTGCTTTTCTGCATTTAGGGTTATCATAACATATCCACTTTTCATCACCAACAACAATTTGATACAGGAAACTTTTTCTTTGTTGTGGTGCAAGCAGCTGTTCACAGGTAAAAAATCTTCTTTTGGTGCCCCTTGGTTTCAGCTCATACAATACCCAATTGTCTTGCTTTTGAATCATTCCCAGTTGTCTCGAATGCCTAAAATCTGTTAATTGATGGGTTCCTGATGTTTTTGCAAGCTCTTCTTGTGTCTGGCATGAATCTTGATCAAGTAATGCCTTTAATTCAGAAATTTTCAAACTTTTTCTAAGCAGCAGAGTATTCTTCATCTTTAAGGTCAAAGTCACCACCCTTGAATTGTTAAAACCATCTTTTGTATGATTGTTTTGAAATAGCATTGTTGCTGTATGTTTCCAATAATATTCTATGCGCCTCAACTGCTGGTATCTTTCGGTGGAATTAATGTAAAAGAATTCCTTGCAAAAACAGTTTTGTAGATATGAACACAGCCATTTTTTAAATTTTCGATAAAAATGTCTTTACACTTGGTCAATTAAAATTGGACTGATGTTTTAGCTATTAGGTAAAATTTATTTATGACCAATCATATATATACCTACCGAATTATGCATCTTAATACAAAAACACTCATTTTAAATACATACTCCAAATAAAAATATATAATAAAATAAAAGCAACACAGATAGAAATTGCATAAATACTCCAATTTATATTTAAATCTAACAAAATATTCTGTAACAAATAAGCAAAATTCCCCTAGAGACTTATAAGGCTCTGTAATGTTAATTTTTTTTTAATTCTGTTAAATTTTTTTTTTTTTTTGCTTCCTATGCAATGCTAAGTAAACATCCTAGTTAAATTATTTTAAATTATTTATATTAAATTTTTACTTTATTGATATACTATATAAATTATAAATTATATTATATAAAATTATTTTTAGTACTTTATAATTCAAGTACAAAGTCTTAAAAATAATTTAATACTTTATAATAAATAATTTTTAATGTTTAATTCAAGCAAAAGAAAGCTTGAAGCTGTAAAATATATTACATTCCTAGTCATTTATTGAATAAAATGAACTTTCTAATAATAATATATTTATAAATCTTAATCAGACAATACATTTTAGTTTATTTTACTATTTTCTAACTCCCTTATCTTATATGTTGACCGAAAAACATTCTATGGTCAAATAGCAATAATAAAATAAGAGCACACTCTTCATAAATGAAATTTTTTTTTTTCATGTGAAGGTTTTTTTAAAAGTACATAAAAGCATAAGATCAAGTCTAAAAAATGTACCAGGACAACAAATTTGTACAGAAGTCTGCAGGAAAAAGGTAAAGGTTGAATTTAAAACAACAAAACTTAGAACATTCACCAAAATTATTATGGTTAGCAAGCCATGTCAATGTGGAAACAAAAAGTTTTTTCACTGATAAATAGTTAATTATCAGAAAAAATAAAAATTAAAAATAAATAAAAACTTACTTAAAAAGTACTTATTGCCAATGGAATGTCCATGATAAGTAATCTTTTGACCTGACCTAGTGTTTTGTTATTACTGCAAATTCATATTAAACTTCTACAATGCCAATTGTATCAATTTCATACTAAAAAATTCAAATTCAAATAAAAATACACAATCCTGCAAATGAACTTCGTCCAATTAAGAAATATTGAGTTTATTAGAGCCAAATTAGGTAAGAGGTTTAGGGAAGCAAAATTAAGTATTGACTTTAAGAAGTGGGATAAAACCACAAGCTTATTTTTCTTCATAGAATTCTGAAATTTCATTTCTAACACTTTAAAAGTGAGATAGCAGTATTTTGTTTTCAAAAGTAAAGTAATAAAAAAATTTTGTCAAAATAAAAATGTTTTGCTTTTCATTGAGACCTCTCATTACAATAGGCAAAGATATCAGTGATTATGCATCAAAATAAGAATATTTTGCTTTTCATTGAGACCTCTCATTACAATAGGCAAAGATATCAGTGATTATGCATCAAAATTGCATTTGGATATCAGAAACTGTTTAACATGTAATTTAAAATTTAATTTAGACAGTAACTTAGCAAACACAGACATGATAAAGTGATATCATTCTGAAACTGTTTTTTCTCAATCTTAATTGTTAACAAACTCTGTTTGTTCTCAATCTTAATTGTTAACAAACTCTGTTTGAACAATTGAGACCTGAAAGCATTCTGAATATTTGCTCTAAAAAATTAAACTCCAGAAATTATGGCACTCGGATTTGTCCTATTAATTTCGCTTAACCGTGAAAAAAATTTTCACAGTTTTCGCCATTCGTGAAAAAAAGATTTTCCTCAATGCACTACATAAAAGGCAAACATAGGTCAACTCACACAACCCACATAAGAATTAACATTAATGTATTGTCCCTCTTATAATCTTTTTTATCCAAAATGAAAATTGTTTGTTTTTAATACTTAATTTTATTTGTTTCATCTTAATTTATTGAAAGAGTTTTAAAATATTTTTTTGCTAAACAAAAAAGTAGTATAAAATATTGTTTATTACTAGCATGACCCGGCCACAACTGGAGATTGTTCACCAGGTGGTAGCGATGGAAATTTCATAATGTTTCCTAGAGCAACATCTGGATCTGAAAAAAATAACTTTGAATTTTCAACATGCAGCAAAAATTATATATGGTCTGTCTTGAGTTCCAAGTCTTCAATTTGCTTTAAGGGTATGATATGTCAATTTTTAGATTATTCATTGAAATTAATCAATCATATATATTCTGAAAAATATTTTCATTGATATTTACAAATAGTAATTTTACTAATCTAATCTACTACTCTCTAACTCTAATCTAATCTACTACTAATCTTTGGTATTTACTAAAAGTAAACACCCAAAATACAGATCTTTAATATATATATATATATATATATATATATATATATATATATATATATATATATATATATATATATATATATATATATATATATATATATATATATATATATATATATATAACTAATAATTATTATAAAATAGTAATGATAATAATAAAAATAGTAATTTTAGTAATAAACATAAAAACTACAATAATAATAAAACAACAAAAATAATATCAATAATAATAGTAATAATAATATCAATAATAATAAGAATAAAAATAATAATAATAATAATAGCAATAAAAATAATAATAATAATAATAAAGTCATTTGTTTTTATAAACACATTAGCTAACTATACAAAGTTGGCAACATTGAACCAAATAAAAAATACATACCAATGCAAGCAATGCACTAAAACATATAACAATACTAGTGAACTATTCACTACAATCCCCAATGAACAATACACAAGAATACAAAAACAAAAAACAACAACAACAACAAAAACCAATGCAAACAGCGCACAAAATTACATTATAAAATAAACAAACTGCAAAAATACATGATAAATTAAACTAAGCACAAAAATGAATTAAAGTGGAAAAAAATGTTTTATTTTTTTCTTTTTTGATTGGTAGTAAAATTTATTGTTCTTTTTTATTATTATTTTTCATTTTCGATTATTTTTAAACTTTTAACTTTGTATCTAGTTTATGGTAGTTTTTGTTTTTTTCTGTTCTTTTTTCTCTTCAGTCATTTTACCTATTTGTATTAATTGATCTTATTTTATATTGTTTGTTGCTACTTTTTTCTTTGTTTTTTTTTTTTTAAATAATATTTTTTGATTTTCTTTATCTTTATTTTTCTTTTTTTTTTTCCTTATCAATTTTAAAAACCACCTCCGCCATTTGCGATGTCATTACAAAGCCTATGCATTAGATGATTTTATATTTTATATATATATAGTAAGAGGCTCTTTGCATGTTTTGATAACTAGCCCTTTTTAAAAATGTGCAAAAAAACAATTTTTTTAATTAAAATAAGCATCTATAAACTGAAAAAAGAATAAAATCTAAAAATATAAATAATACAAAAATTAAATGTAAAAAATATAAATCTTAAAAACTGACAAAATAAAAGGAAGAAAAGTAAAATAAAACATTTTATTTTTTAATGTAAAGTTAATTGTAAGTGAAAGTTAAAAAAAATTTATCACAGTGATCATTACAAAAAATAATTTGAGTTTAAGGCGAGAAATTCAATACAAAAGCAATCAAAAAATAATTTGAGTTTAAGAGAGAAATTCAGTACAAAAGCAATCAAAAAAATCATTTTATTGTGGAAATAATTACAAATGGTTTTATCATGAAAATATAATTTCTAATAAAAAAGTTTCTTACAAAAAAAAAAATTATTTACTTTACAAGTACACAAATATATTTTACACAATAATATTTAGACATCTGTTTTGTTCCTTGGCTTGCATTAAATATCGTTGCTGAAAAAAGCACCCTAATTATAAGAAAAAATAATAATTACAATAATCTTGAAATAATTGTATCTGTGAACCATTTTTTAACTATCCTAATAACTTTTTTATGAAATTTAAAATTTGCACCACAAATCTTTATTAAATATCATGCTACTTTTAAACAGCCAAATTTACTTACAAATTTACTTTAACATCGCGCATCGTTTTTAAACATTACGTTTTTAAATATATCGTATTCTAAGAAAAAAATTGGGGATTAAAGGAGGGGGGGGAAGACACTCTCATGGCCTTTCCCCTCACTATGGATCTGCCTTTGTGTGAGTCTATTTATTCATGGGAGGGAATGATAAAGATTGATAGAGCTGTGTTTTTTTAGCTTGCGCTTACAATTAATTTTACATTAAGTAATGTTTTATTTTTTTCTTCCATTTATTTTGTCATTTTTTGAGATTTTTATTTGTTAAGTTTAATTTTTGTACGATTTATTTTTTTTCATTTTATTGCCTTTTCAGTTTATTGATAGTTTATTTTAAGTTTTTTTTTTTTAAGCACTTTTTATAAAAGCACTAATTATCAAAACATGCAAAGAGCTGTGGCCAAGTTGTCAAAACAAAGTGTTATATATGTGGTCATATATGAAGTGCAACCGCACGCCTCTTATGCGAAGGCTATATACATGATATTTGAATTTCTTTACTTTAAAAATTCTAAATAAATATTTAATTCCTAATTGTTTTTAATTTTACTTTTAATGAATGTTTAAAACAAAATTATGTTTTAGATTTAAAATTTATATTCTGTTTAATTTTTATTTTAAATGATGCATATAGAATCTGGTGCACCAATTTGTGGAAATCGCGTTGTTGAAGCAGGAGAAGAATGTGATTGTGGTTATCGAGGTGATGACTCTTGCAATAACGATACATGCTGTGAGCCATCAGATGGTAAAACAGGTTGCAAGTTTTCTATAAAAGCTAATTCTGCTTCTCCTGGTCCCAAATGCAGGTATTCTTTTTCTATGAGTGTTTCGTCTAGTAGTCTAAATTTTCAATTTATACCCCTGTTTAATAAAATAACAGAATTTATTAATCTCTGCTTTTAACTGTCTTGAAAGCAAATTGAAGAAAATTACGTTCAAAAGATTATTTACATTTATAATTTATATATTTTATACTCTTATTATTATATTTTGTTTTTCATGTGGAAAAATATATCAAGTGTTTCTGAAGCAGATATTTACTGGATTATCAAGTTATCTACTTTCTCTAAGGCAGAAGTGATTAATCATTGGCCCTTCCTGATAAAAGACATTTCATCTGTTTATCGTTTTTTGTTCTCCATACTCCATATTCTAATCAATCAATATTCATATTCATATATTTAAATAAATAATCATATTCAATCAAGTAGGTAATCAAAATAGTCAATCTTAAAGCTGCTTAAAACTAGTTTAATTAAAAAGTCTAAAACAATTTAGAAATTTATTATGTAAAAATGTTATGTAATATTCTTTTAAATACAAAATAATTTGTTAATTTTTTTAACATTTGAGACTATTATGATATATATATATATATATATATATATATATATATATATATATATATATATATATATATATTTATATTGTTATATATATATATATATATATATATATATATATATATATATATATATATATATATATATATATATATATATATATATATATATATATATTATATATATTTTTATTTATTTAAAATTTGCTATATTATTTGGTATTGAATTCACATCTCTCGCTATCCATAAAATTTCTTCAAAAATATTAGTGCTTTACAAATTTGGGTAAAGTTAGGGTCTTGGCTGTTTGAAGTGAAGTTCTTTTTTACTGCAGTATGAAGTAGGCGTAAATCGTGGGGTAAAGCATAAATGGTTATGATGTTTATCTGACAGGATAAACTAGGTATTGGAGTTGAGCCTCTTTTAAACGTCGGTAATAATAGATGCGATAATGAGAAGTTTGTTACCACCACTAATAAATTATGATTACACAAAAGCAATAATGTTTTACCCTATAATTTTACATTTATTCATTTTAAATATTGATATATCTATACATATGTCTATTTATTTTAAGCATGTTAAACAATTGTATTTTCGGTAGATTTATGGTTACTTGTGTCCTGTTTTGTTTTTTTCGCATTCCTATTACATGTGCGGTGTCTAAATTATCATTATTATTTTTTACTATACGCTTTACTATAGTGTCTTTGTTTTGTTCTAAACATCTGTTCAATATATATTTTTAATATATTTATCCTTTCTCTCTTCCTAATTTTTTTCTTGTTTCACTTGGGCTTCACAGCTCGGTCCAGTCCTTTGATGCATATTTCTGCATTTTTTTAAATTGTTTATGTTGGGACTAGGGAGACTGGGATTAGGGAGACTGGGACTATGGAGACTGGGACTATGGAGCTATGTAGGGAGCTATTTTCCAGACTAAACTAATAAACACATCTATTGCAATTTTTTTTTTTTTGGCTTATCACTTTTTTTATTTCTTTATATTCAATAATTATCTTTTTTTACCTATATTGCGTGATGCTTTTAGTATCATTATAGGGTATCACATGCGGTTATACATATTATTGCTGTTTCTGTGGGGAAAAATATGTTTGTTTATGGAACATGTCTGAGCTTGCTTTTAGAACCAGGAGATAATATAAATCCTATGTATAGATGCTAAATCCATAATAGGTAATTTTAAGTATGGCTGGGTTGGCTAGGGATAGTTTCTAGTAATATGACTAAAATATGAAGATACATTTACACACATAATTGCTGTTTCCCCGGAAGAGAATTTCTGTGTCTGGAACATGTCTGAGCTAGCTTTTAGAACCAGAAGATAATATAATCCTATGTGTAGATGTTAAATATGGTTATGTGTAGATGTTAAATTTGGTTCAGGGATTTTTACGCTGGTTTCTAGTAATACTTGACTCTTTTGTACTAGAACATGCGATACTTACTTCGACAAGTATTGGTATATGTATGTATATTTGTATGTATGCATATATTTGTGTATATATATATATATATATATATATATATATATATATATATATATATATATATATATATATATATATATATATATATAAATGGGGTCACTTTTTTGTGACCCCATGTTCCTGGGTCATAAATCAATAAATATTTGTACAAAAGTAATAAAAAAGTAATGCATATTAATAAAATTTCAAACAACTTTATGATTGTTTTTTTTTTAGTTCTAATTTTTTAATTGACAATTTATTATGTAGTTATTAGGCATTTAACAGTTTATCGATACATCATAATACTGTAAATTACAGATAAATATAAAATTACAAACTTATATAACAATTCTACAAGTATGAAAAACAGCTACTGTGTAAATCAAAAAAATGTTGTTTAATATTCAGCTTAATTAAATATTCAACGTAATAGGCAATTCTTATGCTTTGTTAGACAAAATAAATCGAAGCTGGAGGTTCTCTTTTTACTTTTGTCAAAAAGATCTTAAAAACTCCTGATTGCTTGTTCTGCACTCTGATTTGTTTTGGGAATTTCCTGTCTCGATGGTTCTTGATTCCAACATATTATCACTGTGTTTAACGCTTTTTCTTAACTTCTCTTTGTTTATTCTTCAAGACTAACACATTCTTAATGAATATACTAGGCTATAAAGGTGTCTAAATGTCGATCTCGTCTTGGGATAACTGTCAACAAATGGTTGCTGCTTTGCTGGTTGATAACTTTGAAGATCTTACTAATTTGATTTCAGTTTTGGTTTTGCTGTAGTTCTTGCTGGACTGTTTTTCTAAATCTTCAGACTCTGATTCAAAAGTTGTTGTTGTTGCTGTTACTGTTACTGTTGTTGAAGTAAACATTTCTCTCATTTTAGATAAATGGATAGTTTTTGAACTAGCAGCTTTACCAGTTGTATACCCAACCTGTCTTTTGCTTTTAATCTGAAGATGATACAATCTTTGGCCTCACTGCAGACCCATTCATCATCTTTTTTTGTGATGTCTAAAAAACTAAATGTCTAAAGGACATTATGATTGAAGATAATATTTAAATATATTTCTGAAAGGCAATATTAATAAATGCTATTGTAAATTTATATTATTTGCCACCTGGCAAATACAGATTCATATATAATTATAAGCATTACTCAATCAGGCAGCTTTTTTTTTTTTTAAACTTAGATTTATTCCCAACAAGGCTGCAAGCAACCACTATTATGTTAGGAGTTACTAGAAAATAAAGAATAAAGTTAAAGAACAAGAAAAGTTGTAGGTTGTATGAGTTAGGAAAACATAAAGATGGGAGAGAGTTCCAAATAAAGATCAGGTAAAAAAACTAGACAAATAAAAGTTTTTAAAGCATGCAGGAACAGATGCAGTAAAAGGATAAGACTTTGCTGAATGATGAGTCAAGCGAGAATGACTTGTGGCTAGAGATGATAGTGTGGCTAGAGATGTGGCTAGAGATGATAGCTCCTTTGAGCAACAACCATGAAAGAATTTGTAGAATAAAGATGCAACTTTACAATGATGGAAGAGAGGCTTGGGAGATAGAGCAGGTTTAACTATGTTTACAATGCTTTTTTTGATCTTGTCTGGAAGAGAAAGAGCTTCATTAGAAGAGCCAGCCCAAATAAGACAGCAGTATTCCATACAGGGACGAATAAGAGATTTGTAGAGGTAGAGAATGGATCAGAGTAAGAAAATGGCGAGCACGATAATGAAAATCAACCTTACAAGTTGCTAACTTAGCAATCGATTGTATATATGGTTTCCATGGAAGGTCAGTAGAGAACAATATTCCAATAAGACATAAAAAAGAAGAATCAATGAGAGTGTTACCATTCATCAATATAGGAATGTTGACAGTATTGCGATGTTGTTTGCAGTAAACAGTTTAGTTTTGTTGGAGTTAAAGCTTACAAGCCACTACAAGCCCCAATCTGTTACAGAAGTGAGATCATGTTCATAGTCGGCTGCCTGTTCTAAGCAATCAAAGGTCTTTTTGTCAAGACCGGAGCTTATATAGTTTGAATCTTGCTAATTTTCAAAAACTTCTTGAAGACTCCATAAAGTTCTAAAAAGTTTTAGAAGTTTCTAAAAACATCCAGCACAATCCATAAAATTCAAAAATGTTCCATAAGGTTCAAGATAATTTTAGGGCTCAGGAAGTCATAATGCTACTGCCTGCAAATACTACTATTTTAAAAATTTTGTGTTGTGGGTAACATTTTTTGAAAAAAAATCAGAATAAAACCCATTTTCATTACTGTGAGCAAAAGTTCATCAATTTATGACAAAAGAAGTTAAAAAACTTAAAAGTCATAACCTGAATATATATATATATATATATATATATATACACACACACACACACACACACACACACACACACACACACACACATACACAAACACACAGTGAAAATAAAATTTGCCTTATCTTTTTAATCCAATTTTTGTAAATCTGTAAGCAAATTTTTGTGGTATCCACACATGTAATTATTGTTACAAACAACAACTTTAAAAATTTAGAAATTTTTTAGAAATTGCACATTTTAATTGTGGTACATTTGATAAAACCATAAAATGTATAATACTTGATATTTGTGATAACAAATAGAATTAGCCTCATCAATAATTATTTTCAGTTTACTTGTATATTTTGATCTGGTGATACGCTTATGACTTAATTTTGTATTATTATTTGTAAGTTAAACAAAGACTGTGAAATCAATGCTCATAAAGTTTTTAACATTTGGTTTTTGATACTTAAATTTGAAATAAACGTGGTAAACGTTTAACAAATGAAGAAGCATACAAAGTTACTGGCATACAAAGAAAATTGGGAAGTTGCAAAGAAAATTAAAAGTGGTTAATAACTTAAAAACTTCATAACTTCAAAATGATTCAAGCGTTAATTATGGAGCTTATAAAGGAAATGATGGCAAACATA